TATGAACATTGGAAACTACATTTCCCATGATTCATTTCAGTGCAAACAACGTGTAGAAATTTGTCTAAAAGTCTGATCAATTTTACACATGTTGGTGCTGTAAAGTCATGGAAAATTCTCTTTAGGTCATGAAAAAGTTACGGAAACGTTTTGGAATTTTGTCAGTGAAAAAGAGTGGGAACCCTGTGTGTGTGTGTTCGTGTGTGTGTTTTTGTGTGTGTGTGTGTGTGTGTGTGTGAAGAGTGTGGGGTGAAGATGTGTTTTTAATAACAGGGCCTGTGTTGAAGTCGTTGATCCTTTTCTTCATAAATCCAGATCGTGGAATCCTCTGATGTAAAAATATCTGAGCGAACATGAGCCGTGGTTTTTTAAGCTTTTAATTAACGTCTGCAGCCCGAGCTTCACTTTGAGCTTCAGTTTGAGCTTCAGTTTGAGCTTCGGCGTCTCACCAGAACAACAAACACGAACACGGATTTTATAACAATTTATTTTATTTATTTTTTACAATGTACAGACAAAAAAATATCAAAACAAAATCTTGTTTTTGGTTTTTAAAGGACAAATACATTAAATATTTGAAAACAGCACATGGAAACAGCGACACAGATTGTCCAAAATATCAAAAGGTTGATGGTTCGATACCTGCTCATCCTTTAAGTCAAATCGTCCCTTGGGCAAGACACTCGAATGCCCGAATGAAAACAACGAAAACAACAAGAAAACATCAGAAATAGAAGTTTATCTTTTTATCTCAAAGGTGCTGGACCTGATTTTTATCTTCAAATAATGACAAACAGACGTAGTTTATTTGAAAAGTTCCTCCTCACTGACCTCACGAGTTCACAGAGTCATAATTTATGTGTTTTTCAGATAAAGATTTGTTTTTTCAGTTTTTGATTTTGTGTTTAAATGAAAAATGGAAAAAATGGAAAACGACCATTTTCAACGTAAACTGAGATGCCGGACTGAACCAGGACTAAACCAGGACTAAACCAGGACTGAACCAGGACTAAACCAGGACTGAACCAGGACTAAACTAGGACTAAACCAGGACTAAACCAGGACTGAACCAGGACGATACTATACTGTTTTCAGTCCCGGTCTGGTCCCAGTCCCAGTCTCAGTCCCGGTCTCAGTCCTGGTCCTGTTCCTGGTCTCAGTCCTGGTCCTGTTCCTGGTCTCAGTCCTGGTCTCAATTCTGGTCTGGTGGCAGTCTCAGTCCCGCACTCATTCCTGGTCTGGTCCTGGTCTAAGTCTTGGTCTCAGTTCTGATCTAGTCCCAGCCTCAGTCCTGGGCTCAGTCGCGATCTGGTCCCGATCTGGTCCTGGTCTCAGTCCTGATTTAGTCCCGATCTAGTCCCGGTCTGGTCCCGGTCTCAGTCCCGGTCTGGTCCCGGCCTCAGTCCCGATCTAGTCCCGGTCTCAGTTCCGGTCTCAGTCCTGGTCCTGGTCTCAGACTCAGAGCTGGTCTGGTCCCGGTCTAAGTCTTGGTCTCAGTTCTGGTCTAGCCTCCGTCTCGGTCCCGGTCTCGGCCCCAGTCTTTTCACAGTCTCAGTCCTGGTCTAAATCCTGATCTCAGTCCCAGTCTGGTTTCAGTCTGGTCCCGGACATGTTTTAGTCCTGGTCAGTCCTAGTTTAGTCCTGGTTTAGTCCCGGACAGTCCTGGTTTAGTTCTAGTTTAGTCCCGGTTCAGTCCTGGTTTCGTCCTGATTTAGTCTTGGTTTAGTCTTGATCAGTCCTGGTTCAGTCCTGGTTTAGTCCCGGTTCAGTCCTGGTTTAGTCCTGATTTAGTCTTGGTTTAATCCTGATTCAGTCCTGGTTCAGTCCTGGTTCAGTCCTGGTTTAGTCCTGGTTCAGTCCTGGTTTAGTCCTGGTTTAGACCTGGTTCAGTCCTGGTTCAGTCCTAGTTTAGTCCTGGTTCAGTCCTGTTTTAATCCTGGTTCAGTCCTGGTTTAGTCCTGATTCAGTCCTGGTTCAGTCCTGGTTCAGTCCTGTTTTAATCCTGGTTCAGTCCTGGTTCAGTCCTGGTTTAGTCCTGGTTTAGACCTGGTTTAGTCCTGGTTCAGTCCTGGTTCAGTCCTGGTTTATCAATTTTTTCCATTTTTCATTCAAACCCAAAATCCAACCCTGAAAAAGTGAATCATTATCTGTTTTTTTCATTTAGTTTTTTTCATTTCATTTTCTTATTTTCGGTTTTATTTCTGAAATAAACGACTGAACGACACTCAGATTCTTCTCGGTTCAGGTCAGACGTGTTTTCTCTCTTCGGACTTTCGTTTCGTTGAATAAAATCCCTTGAGTTTGTCGGTGAGTCTGGAGCTCAGATCTGCAGCAGCGAGTTTGTGCGTCGCAGATAATTAGCATGAGTCCACATAAAAACAGCCGAGCGTGGAGAGCCCAAAAACCACAGGAATGGACTATTTCTGCTGTACCCATTGGAAATAACAACAGCATAAAAAAAAACAAAAAAAAAACCCTCTTGGTCCGGTTACAATCCGCCTCGAGTCCAATCCAGGCCGGGTCAGAGACGGGTCTGAAGACTCTTTCTGTTTTCCTCCTTTTTTTTATTTATTTTTGCGATTTTCAGGCAAATATCTGTCCAGATCTGCACAAAATCACGCGAAATATAACAAATATTTTTAAAAAGTGTTGAAAATCTGATACGTTTTTCTAAATAAAATTAAAAGTAAGAACGAAAAAACTGCGATTTTCTTCATTATTTGTCGCCAAAATCAAACAGAAAAAAACAGATAATGATTCATTTTTTCAGTTTTTGGTTTTGTGGTTAAATGAAAAATGGAAAAAACAGATAATGGACTAAACCAGGACTAAAACAGGACTGGACCAGGACTAAAACAGGACTGGACCAGGACTGAACTGGGACTGGACCAGGACTGGACCAGGACTGGACCAGGACTGGACCAGGAGTGTCGTTACAGGCCCGCATAGACTGTCAGGTGATCAGGACTGAGACCAGGACCAGTTCTGAGACTGGGATTAGACCGGGACAAGACCAGAAGTGAGACTGGGACTGAGACCGGGACTGAGACCGGGACCAGGCCGGGACTGAGACTGGGACTGAGACCGGACTGAGACCAGGACCAGGACCGCAGACTGAGACCCGAGACCAGAGACAGACTGAGACCAGGACTGAAGACTAGGACTAGGACTGAGACCAGTTTGTCTTTGGTTTAGTCCTGGTTTAGTCCAGCATCGCAGTTTATTCATTTTTAATCCAAAATCAAAAACTGAAAAAAACAAATCATTATCTGTTTTTTTTATTTTGGTTTTGGAGACAAATAATGAAGAAAATCTTTTTGGTTTTGATTTGCTGCACTTCTGTCCATTGTGAAAAAAACATTAATCACACCTGATTCTTATGTCTCCAGAACCTCGTTTTGGTCTCGTTTTGGTCTCGTTTTTGTCTCTTTAATGTTTTTATTTCGACAGTTTGACCAGCAAATCTAGTTTTATTCTTGAAAATTTGACAAAAACAAACTGAATTGAAAGAAAATATATTTGACCTCAGATCGTGCAGCCCAACTTTTCAAAACAACATTCTCTTTCTCTTTCTCTTTGTGTCCAGCTCCTCTTCCTCCACCGCAGCAGCAGAACCGTCGCTCCTCAGCCTCTCCTCCGTCTCGTCTTCGTCAGGTCTTTTTCTGTTTGTTTTTGTGTTTGTTTTTTCTCTCTGTGCTGTTTGCGCCGGGGCGGAGGCGTGTCCGTGCACAGAGCTCGCGGCGGCTCTAGGATCTTGGACTGGGACTGAGACCGGACTTAGACCGGGACCAGATCAGAGCTGAAACCAAGACTGAGACCGGGACCAGGACCGGACCGGGACCAAAACGGGACAAGATCAGGGCTGAGACTGGGACTGGGACCGAGACTGAGACCCGGACTGAGACTGTGACTGAGACCAGACTAAGACTGAGACTGAGATCAGGACCAGACCAGGACCAGACCGGGACCAGACCGGGACTGAGACAGGACTGAGACCAGGACCAGATCGGGACTGAAACCGAGACTGAGAGGGACTGAGACAGAGACTGAGACCGGACCAGATCAGGACCAGACCAGGACTGAGACTGAGACCGGGACCAGATTGGGGACTGAAACCGAGACTGAGACCCGGACTGAGACTGTGACTGAGACCAGGACTAAGACTGAGACTGAGATCAGGACCAGACCAGGACCAGACCGGGACCGAGACAGAGACAGAGACTGAGACCAGGACCAGATCCGGGACTGAAACCGAGACTGAGACCAGGACCAGATCAGGACCAGACCAGGACTGAGACTGGGACTGAGACCAGGACTAAGACTGAGACTGAGATCAGGACCAGACCAGGACCAGACCGGGACCAGACCAGGACTGAGACCGGGACTGAGACTGAGACCGGGACCAGATCGGGACTGAAACCGAGACTGAGACCGGGACTGAGACCGCAACTGAGACCAGGATCAGACCTGGACTTAGGCCGGGACAAGATCAGGCCTGAGACCAGCACTGAGACCAGTTTAGTCCTGGTTTAGTCCTGGTTTAGTCCTGGTTTAGTCCTGGTTTAGTCCTGGTTTAGTCCAGTTTATTCATTTAAACACAAAATCGAAAACTGGAAAAACAAATCATTATCTGTTTTTTCATTTTGGTTTTGGAGACAAATAAAGAAGAAATTATTTTTTTTTTCCTTCTTATTTTTGGTTTTATTTTGAAAAACGACACACAGATTCTTGACACTTCTGTCCGTTTTGAAAAACATTAATCACACCTGATCCTGTGTCTCCAGAACCTCGTTTTGGTCTCGTTTTTGTCTCTTTAATGTTTTTATTTCGACAGTTTGACCAGCAAATCTAGTTTTATTCTTGAAAATTTGACAAAAACAAACTGAATTCCCCAAAGAAAATATATTTGACCTCAGATCGTGCGGCCCAACTTTTCAAAACAACATTCTCTTTCTTTTTGTGTCCAGCTCCTCTTCCTCCACCGCAGCAGCAGAACCGTCGCTCCTCAGCCTCTCCTCCGTCTCGTCTTCGTCAGGTCTTTCTCTGTTTTTTTGTTGTTGTTTTTTCTCTCTCTGTGCTGTTTGCGCCGGGGCGGAGGCGTGTCCGTGCACAGAGCTCGCGGCGGCTCTAGGATCCGAACAGCGCCTGCTTGGTGTGGAGCGTGTTGTACATGAGGAAGAGGTTGAGGGCGACGGAGGCGAGCAGCGGGAACACGGTCAGACCGGAGCCGAAGCCTCTCCACGGGCTGCACACGTTCAGACTCACCCAGTACACCAGCCTGAGGACCAGAGCACAGCGGTCAGGACAAACACGGGACACAACAACAAAACAGCAAAATAAAAGCAAAAACAGAGAGATAAGAAACCGTTCCAGAAGTTTCCATAGACGGTAAAGGCAGTTTTCGATTTTGCGTTTAAATGAAAAATGGAAAAAATGGAAAACGACCGAAAGAGACGCATAAAAATCTGTGTGTCGTTCGTTCATTTGTTTTTCAAAATAAAACCAAAATTAAGAAAATGAAAAAGCAACGATTTTCTTCATTATTTGTCTCCAAAACCAAAATGAAAAAACAGATAAAGATTTGTTTTTTTCAGTTTTTCGATTTTGTGTTTAAATGAAAAATGGAAAAAAATGGATAACGGACTGAACCAGGACTAAAACAGGACTAAACCAGGACTAAAACAGGACTGGACCAGACTGAGATCAGGACTGAGACTGGGACTGAGACCGTGACCAGACTGGGACCGAGACCGGGACTGAGACTGGGACTGGGACTGAGACTGGGACTTAGACTGGGACCAGACCAGGACCAGGACTGAGACTAGAACTGAGACCAGGAACAGAACCAGGACTGAGACCGGGACTGAAATTGGGACCAGAGTGGGACTTAGACCAGGACTGAGGCTGGACCAGACCAGGACCAGGACAAGGACTGAGACCAGAACTGAGACCGGGACTGAGACTGGGACCAGACTGGGACTGAGACCGTGATTGAGACCGGGACTGAGACCGGGACCAGAACAGGATCAGGACCAGGACTGAGACCAGGACTGAGACCAAGACTAGGAACAGGACCAGGACTGAGACTGGGACTAAGACCGGGACTAGACTGGGACCAGACCAGGACCAGACTGTGACTGAAACCAGGACTGAGACCGGGGACCAGACCGGGACTAGGACTGAGACTAGAACTGAGACTGAGAACAGGACCAGGACTGAGACCAGAACTGAAACCGGGACCAGACCGGGACTGAGACCAAGATCAGGAACAGGACCAGGACTGAGACCAGAACTGAGACCAGGACTGAGACCAGGACCAGACTGGGACAAGATGAGGACTGAGACTAGGACTGAGACTGGGATTAGACCGAGACCAGACCAGAACTGAGGCCAGCATTGAGACTGGGACTGAGACCAGGACCGGGACTGAGACAAGATCAGGACTAAGACCAGGACTGAGATTGGGACCGAGACCGAGACCAGGACTCAGACCGGGACCAGACCTGGACTAAGACCGGGACTGAGACCAGAACTAAGGCCAGGAGTGAGACCAGGACTTAGACCAGGACCAGGACTGAGACCAAGACTGAGACCGGTTTAGTCCTGGTTCAGTCCGGCATCTCAGTTTATTAATTTAAACCCAAAATCAAAAACTGAAAAAACGAATCATTATCTGTTTTTTTCATTTTGGTTTTGGAGACAAATAATAAAGAAAATAGTTGTTTCTTCATTTTCTTATTTTTGGTTTTATTTTGAAAAACAAATGAACAAATGACACACAGATTCCACTCACAGTCAGAATGTTTATTTTTCTAGATATTTTTGGAGCTTGAGTAAAAATCTGTTCAAAAATCACAGTGCACAGCCGGATTAAGTCTAAATCTAAACTCACAGGTCGGTCATTAATAAACCTGGTGTCGTGTGTGTGTGTGTGTGTGTGTGTGTGTGTGTGTGTGTGTGTGTGTGTGTGTGTGTGTGGTCAGACCGGATATTTGAGTCTTGCCGGTGATAGTGTTTCAGGAGGAAGTGTGCACACGACAGACGTTTTACTGGATATAACCCTGTGCGGCCGCCGCTGCTGCTGCTGCTGCTGTGGTTGTTGTTGTCGGCGGTTGCCAGGCAACGGCACCCAGCTGGTTTATATCGAGGCCGTAAACCCCGGAGAACAATGAGCCTGTTTACTGTGACAAGACCTGCTCCCAAACACACACACAACGCACACACGAACAAACACACGAACAACAAACACACAACGAACAAACACAACGCATCATCACAAACAGACCTGGAGATGTGTGTTTTTTTTGTTTCTTTCACACACGTTTAACACACAAACCCTGCAGATTTACGCTGAGTTCTTCTCTCAAACTGAAAAACTAGACTCCTAACACCTTCACTTGATCATTTCACTCCTCAAATTGTCCATAAAAGGAGCTGTGAACTTGAAAACTGCCACAATCTGACATCACGAGGTGGAACTTTAATCTTTGGACAGACTATAATGGACACAGAGGTGGGACCAAGTCAACGTTTTGAAAGTATCAAGACTTGGACCTCAAGTCCGAGTCAAGTCCCAAGTCAAAGACAGGCAAGTCGAGTCTCGAGTCACTGGCCCATAAGTCCCAGTCAAGTCCAAGTCATCTGATTTGAGCTTCAAGTCACTGTAAGCCTTTAAAACCAAACATACACATACAACTTTGATTTTTGCAATTTATATTAATTTTAAACTAAATTCTACTGAAAAAGTCATAGTATATTTATATATGAGTTGTAGAAATGCTGTTTTTTTCCTTTTTAAATGTCTTGACAAGCTCTGAGTGAATCATTACGGTCAGAATAGAAAGAATTCAGATTTAAAAGTGCTAAATAAGTTATTTTGTCGTGTGTCTGCACTGAAATGGAAGGATCAGGTTCTACGTTGTTCACTCTGTTTTACTGTATTGTACTTTATATTACTGTATTATATTGTGTATTACTGTAGTACATTTGAGAATACTACATCACAGTACTTCAGTTACATCCAAAGTAACAAACAGAGAAGTGGGAGAGAAATGTTCCAGTTTGTTCTTGTAAAATTCAGCACCACATTTATCAACTGGAAAGAGAAAAGTATTTTCAAAAACCATAGTTTTTTCAGAAGAGTCACAGGGCTCTAGTCCGAATCAAGTCCCACGTCACTGACCTTCAAGCTGAAGTCAAGTCCCGAGTCTTGGTCCATTTTATCAAGTCAAGTTTCAAGTCCTAAAAATAGCAACTCAAGTCTGACTCGAGTCCAAGTCACGACTTGCAAGTTCCACCTCTGACAGGCTGCGCTCAGACTGCAGCCTGAAGTGACCCAAATCTGTTTTTTTTCTTCCCTCTGCTCCTGTATCTGATCTTTTAATGACAGTTTGAACCACACAGGACACTTGGACATGTGCTCCTAAAACCGATACATATCTGATCTTTTAACATGCGACTTCAGTCTGAACGGTCAGGTCACATTCATCCCACCTCCACGTCAACAAACAAGTAAACAAGGTAAGTTTTTGTGTAGTAACAAGCAGTGTTGGGAGTAACGCATTATAAAAGTAACGAATTACAGTAATGCATGACTTCTTGCTGTAACGCAGTAATGTAAGGCATTTACAGGGGAAAAATAGTAATATTTTACTCGGTACAAATATGAGTAACGCGCGTTACAATGTTTTTTTTTAATCTGGATTGAAGTGGTGGGTTTTTCTTCATACAAATTCGCTAAAATCACCTCGATATCAGCAGCGGTGAAACGCATGAGATGTGCCCTCGTAGACCTTCAGGTAACCGCGGGCGAAAGGACCGACACAGAACTCCACGCTGTTTAGACCTGGTTTAGACCTGGGTCAGTTCTGGTTTAGACCTGGTTTACACTCGTCCCTCCCTCTATCGCAGTTCACTTTTCGCGGTCTCGCTGTTTCGCTGATTTTTTTTTCTTTTTTGTGCAATTTTGCATGCCTTTTTTTTTTTACATTGTATGAATGTGTATTGCGTCCCTCCCGCTGCGTCTTGATTGGCTGAGGGACTCCTGTCTCCTGTACAGTACAGAATGTGTTCAGCTGCCAAATTTAAATACATGTTCAATCTGTATCAGTGTGATTCTGAAGTGCTGTACGGTTGCAAGTTTTCTCCCCGACGAAACCCACAACGTCGACGAAACGTTCTGCACCGACAAAGGCTCCTGCACTCGCACCCAAAAGGCAGAGGAAGATGCAAACCATCACACAAAAAGTTGGACTTCTGGACACGCTGAAGGAAGGTAGAAGTTACGCGCTGTAACAGACTCTTGCACCGGCTCGGGTCCCTGCAAATAGTTGCTGAAATCAGGACCGCGACCCCGAGCAGCAGGGTCCATAAAGAGCGATCGGGTGACAGCCGCTCTTACCTCCGTGAGGTGTGGAGCAGAGCCGCTCCTTTCTCCTGCGGTCACCTTCAAGACCGTCCCGACAGTGAGTCCTGTTTTAGTCCAAGTTCAGTTCTGGTTTAGTCCTGGTTCAGCTCTGGTTTAGTCCTGGTTTAGACCTGGTTTAGTCCTGGTTCAGTCCATATACAGCGCAAAAGTTATTTTGGTGAGAGTAACTTAAAGTAATGCAATAGTAAAGTAAAGCCTTACATTTTAAATGCAGTAATATTGTAATGTAACAAATTACTTTGAAATGACTGTAATAGGTAATAAATACCGCATTACAGTTTCAAAGTAACTTGCCCAACAGTGGTAACAAGCACCTGTTGCGAGCGGAAGCACTAGGTGGCGTCATCATCATCATCATCATCATCATCGTGTGGTGTATGTGTCAGAACAGAGTCTAAATAGTGTTGCTCATTCTGCAGTCGTGTTTTAAGAAGCACATAAACACAAACATCCTACGCTGGCCCAATCCTCGCCTGCAGGAGGAAACTGTTTAAAGGTTGTACAGAGGATTTTTTTAAGGGAAGTGAAAATACAGTCCTTTTTCAAATGTTGTGCATGCGTGACACCACCTTCCTCCTCCACAGCTCCTCAGTAGAAACACCTCCTCCCGCCTCGTTACTCCAGAAATCACGCTTGTTTACAGTCAGTGCGCGTTCAGAATTACTGTTGAAGTGACCCGTCTAGAAGTATTTTAGCGACCGACGCGTCAGTTTTTAGACCCTTTGTCTCTCTGGAAGGAATCTCCAAGAATCACCTCAGTTTGTCTTCGCTCCTTTTCTCCTTCTCTTCTTCTTTCAGCGACCTCAAAAACCGACTTTCTTTTGCGGCGAACTGGTCGTGGATTCTCGTCC